ATTTGTCGATTGATGATACAAGCCTTTCTGTTCATTTGTTGTTCATCTAGACAAATTGAAAGGAATTTATATTTTTCTTATATATCTGTGGGGTTTTGTAGTAGACTTTATTTACATGTTAATCTACAAAACATTTTCTGAAAATCCTGCATCACCTCCAGATAAGACAAAACTAAAACTGGATAGCCTGAGAAACCAGCTGCAAGATCACTGTGAATGTGACCCTGCTAGAAATAATGTTAAGTTACTGAGATTCAGATCGATTTACGTATATTTTACTCAGCTAATTAACCATTAATGGAATATTTGCAAACTGAAAAAAAAAACCAAAACAAAGAAACATTGGGATATGGCTGTGTGCTACACTTTCATGGAGATGGGCAAACAAACTACAGGTACATATACAAAACCAACTGCTTAGTTGCCTTCCTTAAAGTCTTTTCTCTTGTAAAAATAGACTAAAATGTTTGAAAACACTTAGAATGATGCACAAATTTCAGCTTTATGTGGCTTCTAGTGTAATTTTCTATGCTGCTCTTCGTGTTCTGGTGTGACATGCAGCAATTTACTCACTACTGCCAGCTGGTGGTTGTGGGGGGGTGGGGGATTTTCACTTCAGCTGGGCTAGTGACAGCGAGGACTCATTAATAACACTGTAGATCCATGAGTGCAATGTCATCAGGGACTAGTTGTCGACCTGACTTTCATAAGAGAAATGTTGAGTATACAGAAACTGAATTTGGTAAAACCCCTACCTACACTATAGCTGTAGGCCACTGAAAAAATAAAGATTGACAGGGACTGTGAACAAGTAGCCAGGTAACTTGGATTTAATGTTAGTCCCACTTGACATTGTCAGTCTCCATTCCACACTCCATTTCCTGACTTATCTAGTTTGAGTGGTGTGTTCTGAAATCTGTTAACCAGCTGTCTCACATTCATTACTCCTCATCCTCTGTTCCCCAGTTCACCAGATTTTAAGTAATATCCCCCAACGTAAAGCCCACCAACCCCCTCCCTGTTCTCTTGCTATTTCTGTTCTAACAATTAAGCTTATGTCAGTGAAGGACAAGTGCTCTATTGCCTGTTTAGGTTAAAGGAAACCAGCCCATTCACATGTTAATCTGCCATATGTATCTTTGTGGTGTACTGTACAGTATGTGTGAGTGTACATTTACATGAACCTGCATGTGTTGTTTCTGATAAGCGCCACATCCTAAATGTGTTGCAAAACAGAAAGAGGATGTGATGATAGTGTTTAAGGAATTCACAGATTTCCAGTCCTGCTATTCAAGCATTATTTAATGAACAGACTTTCCTGTTTCCAACTATTACTGTTATGACTGCCTGTCGAGTCATAACATAAATTTACTGCACCTACTGTAATTGTTAAACCTGAGTGGTTCCTTTGTATTTACATTTTATTGTTTCTCGGTTAAAAAGCGTCTAATGTGATTACCTCCACCAAGGAGGTTATGTTTTTGGTTCTGTGTGTGTGTGTGTGTGTGTGTGTGTGTGTGTGTGTGTTGGTTAGCAGGATTATGAACAAACGGCTGGATGGATCACCAGCATACGTGATACAGACATTGATGGGGACCATCTCTAGAAGTGATTAGATTTTGGCTGGAAAAGGTCAAAGTAAAGGTCACAAAAATAATGGAAACAAAAAAATTACAATTGTCCTCATCTTCAACATGGGGCAAAATTTAAAAATGCATATCTCCATCAAACATTATTAAAATCATTTGAAATTTAACACACATATGTAGAATGTCAATGTCTAGCACCAGACCAAATTTCATCCAGATCTAATTTAGATTCAGGATCTGACAGCCATTTAAATGTATCATTGAAAACCCCAGTTAATGCATATTTTCTGCCATAACTTGGCCTATAATGAAGACAGAACCCTGAAATGTTCAGGTAAGAGGCACAGTACAGATGCTTATCATATCCTAAAAGATGATCTGGATCAGGGGTTTTTCGGATGAATTTTGTGTTTTTTTGGATCTCATTTTTCACAAGATACCCATTTGCATGAGTGAATGTTGTGCCTTGATGTGGGTACATGCGCTCTCTGGGTGTTTTTATTACTTTACGTGCTCTTATGTTGCAGGATTTTTAGAAATGATTTTTTTTTAAATGCACATGAAAATAACTGTTTTTCACTGCTTATTGTATATTTGTATGTATATAGACCATATGATGATACCAATAATACAACATTTAAGTTCTGTACCTCAAAAAACTCTAGCTTGAAATGATTACACACACTCATAAGTATATACACACACAAACTCACATACAGATAAGATAAAGACAGACAGAAACAGCATGACTTTTTTATGACAACATGATTGGCTATTTACTATCTCATTGCTCTGACCTACACATAAGGCATGAATTATTTTTTTTCTGCTCATCCCTACCTACATAACAGCAGATTGACATTAAAAGGCCATGGGTGAAATTAACTTGTCTAAGTGTCTGTGTTTGTGTGCATATCTTTAGGTTGCAGTGGGGTTACATTCCAGCCATAAGTCTCTCTTGATGATATTGGAATGAAAGACAGAAAATATGTTTTCAAAGGCTGATATGAAATGCCTGTCATTCCTTCCTTTTCCCGCCTAATCCCTGATAGTGTGCAGTTACAGTATGGCAGCTACTCTGCAGTTTCCATTCTCAAACAAACCCCTTTGCCTCTGTCTTTCAGTCTCTCTCTTCCCACCTCTGTCTGTGCATGTATCCCAGCCTCCCGCAGAGCCGTACATGCCTCTGTAGAGCCAGGCGGCCCATGGCTTCCTTTCTCTCGGGTTTCTGCTGTTACAGCTGGCTGGCTGGAAAGATAGAAGAGAGAGAATGAGAGGCAAAGAGACAGAACAGGAAAACAGGTTGCTGCATAAATAGGAAAGAGGGATAAATGTTTTCTTGTGGTTTTGAAGTCAGTGCTTTGGGGAGTCACATCACTATACTGCCAGGGAACATGGAAAGAAGGGAAGTTTGATGTCTGTAGCTAAATTAAAACTGATTTGTAAAAACATTATTTAATATGCCAAACATTTAATTTACAGTAAAACTACATTATGATGAATTCACAGTGGAACAGTATCAACAATACACTATAATATTATCTTCTCTGCTTCAGTGACCCCTTTTCTTCTAGTATGTATGTATGTATGTAGTATGTGAATTTTTATTATTATTATTATTTTTATGCTGGGTGCAACAACATCTGTTTATCAGGCTGAACTGAAGTGACATATGGAAGGCAAATAGTGCATGCAAACATACCGATGTAAGTTTTTTAGTTGTCCAGATGGCTTTTGGTCCAAGATAATACAGTAGCGCTCTGATGTTTTGTTGTTGCAGTCATCATCACTTGATACATGAAACACTAAATGCCTGTGATTATACTTTGTTCTAACAACATTTTGCAACACACATTGGTGTTGTCATCCAAAAGGTAATTAGCAAAGCTGCAGTGTGAAAAGTCAACCCTGTCTTCTAGAAATGATGTTTGTATACAACTAATTTGTAAAAGCATATACATCTTGTAGGAAATGTAATTGCATGCAGATTACATTTTCTATCAACATAATGAGGATTTCTTCTTGTTGTTTTTCTTGTTCATTTACGTATTTGGCAAGTTGCAAATAAGATAATACTGAACTATCAGTAAAATCTTCACAGACACTGCATTTGTTTTCTGCCAAAATATCTGATCATACAGTACAACATTCACTTGTAGTGATTTTGACCCTTACAAAAAGCCATGTCTTGAGATTCCCCATGAAACTGTTTCATTATTGACATTTAAATTTTTCCAGGTAATTTTTAAATTCAACCGGTTCTTTTATCTGAAGGCCCCAAGAAGTAACACTCAGGAAACAGGAATCAGCTTTACGTAGATTTATTTTCTTCTGGTTAAATGCAGAGTTATTACAGCGCTGGGCTCTATGAGATGACAAGTCCCAAGAGCCTAGATAATCAAAAATCATTCACATTTATCTTCTCGGGCTGGGA